ATTGTTCATTGATTATCCAGTTGATAAGTCCAACTTATTTATATCCTACAAACTCAACATTATTTGATTATTTATTCGTTGTTGTTGTTTATGATGTTGTTGTTTTTTGTTGTTAATGATTATGATAATAACGCATGAAAATGACAGCGAGTGTTTTCGTTGATTATTTGAAATGGTTTATGTACTTTCATTTGTATGTGTTCTATCATTCAAACGCTTTTTTGATCGTTTTATTCATTCATTTTGTTTTGTTTCTTCAATAAACAGTCGTTTGATTGGACGCTTGTGTTAGTGTCTCACGTATAGTTGCTTAAGGGAACGTTGCTTTTTAGAACCTGGAAAGGTTATTCGTGGGTGAATACTTTTATTTAGGATGTTTTCGGTGAAAATCTAAGTGCTCGGTGTATACTAGCAGTTGTTTGATTCGATGATTCATTTCGTTCGACCCTAGTTGAGTGGGAAGAATGTAATCTCTATGGATATAAGAGAAAACTGAACAACGGGAACGGTTCGTGTAATTGTCAATATTAATGTTCTTTACATGNAAGAGAAAACTGAACAACGGGAACGGTTCGTGTAATTGTCAATATTAATGTTCTTTACATGGCCTATCACCCGAACTGCTGTCGTTGCTATGATACGTCTTAACGTCCCTAACACAACTCGGAAAGGTCATCTATGAAGGGTAACGGAACTAGGGTTGAAGCTTGTGGTGCTCCGGAGGGAAGTGCGTCTGGTTCGGCGAAACCTCGTTGTGTTCTTTTGTTTAAAAAATTACCGATTCATAGTAATAGGGATCCATCTGTCTATTCCATAAGTACATAACTTATGAATCAATTTGTTGAGGCTGAGCTATCGGAAGTCTTACGGAAATCAACAAATATGCAATCATGCATCCATTCTGTTCAAATTTTTGTACGATTCATCAATAGTTGATGTAAGCTGAGTTTTACATGATCTTTTTTTATGAATCTAAATTGGTCTTCACTGATCAGTTTTCGTTTCGAGAAGTGAAGCTCAATACTGTGGGCTATAATTTTTATCAAGACTACAGATTTCAGAAGTTAGAGAGATAGGTCTATAATTTTCGACCAATTCGTTTTGACCTTTCATGAATAACGCCTGGAAAATAGCTTTTCTCCAAGAGTTGGTAATCTCTCAGTTTTTAGAAGATAACGGATAAGGGCGATGCGAAAGACATAGCGCAT